TACTAAAAAGAAATTAGGACATCTGGAAGAAGAACAAAGCGAATAGTCAGCAGCACAAAGGCACATGTAGAAGCCAATATCAATGACATCCACAGACTCCTGAACTCTGCAATAGGACTGTAATGATTCTCAAAAAAGTCAGAAGGGACTTTCAGGTCCCTCAGTCCAAAACTGCCACACAGACTTCTCAATGACTGTCTAACCCTGGATGCAGAGAGACTTACTCAGGCCCTTCCTGTGAGCAATTGCACAATTTTGTAGCTCTTCTGAGAGTGCTCAGATGTCCCATGGTCTGTGTAGCCTGGTGCCAGCCTCTTTTGGGCCTCTCCACTCACTCAGAGGGCTGGGGCAGCAAAATCATAGTAGCATTCCCCTGGGTGATTTGAATAAGAGCAGAGCAAGAGAAAGCCTGCGCATGAACAAGCCAGGGGACAGGAGGGAATATTAAAAGGTCCTGGATTTCATTGTACATGGGAGGGCAGACAAGGAGGCTGTTATAAAGGAGGAAACTAGCTTTTGTTGAAATCTAACATTGAAAAAATGCCATTCTGAATAACCCCTTGCCTTCTCAGATCCCTTCCTCAACAGGCGAAGGGCCAGTGACTTCATACAGGCTGACACAAGACTAAGAGCCATCACTCAGGAGAGGTATGTCATGGCCTCAGGATGCTGAGGTTGAGAGTGGGAAGGGATTCTTCCTTGCCAAGCACAGGCTGGTACCAGGGGTGGCAGCCACGGTGACTTGCAAGGAGTCTCAGTCCGACTTTTAATGTGATGTACCATTTAAATCCCCAATCCCAGGAAAAGCAAGAATTCAGATAACAGAGAGTGGGTCCTTTGATTAGGAGACATGTCACATGCTGAGAAGACTGATTAATTTTTCTGAAGGAAGAACCAACAGAAGGAGAGAGAATGGGTGTGCGATGGTCAAAAAGAAAGCTCAGTTTGAGATCTCATTCTAGTCCTTAGATCTCATACAGAACTTGCATGACCTTTTCTAAATCAAAGGGCCATCTGAAGGCCTTCTTGCCTCATTTATAAAATATAGACATAACCAATTTCATGCCTTATTCAAGGCTTGTAAAAATAAGGACTGAAGCACAGAAATAATCTCATAGCAAGGCATAAGGCAAACCTTCTCCTCAGGACCTTTGCAGAATAATTTAGGTCTTTTTTCGATGCATATTTTTGGGAAAGAACAGAAGACCTGAAGAGAGCAGGTCAGGGAAGGCTGAAAAGGGAGGACTCTTCCTCAAGATAAAGCAGGAGCTGTTCTTCTCTCCCCAACACCTTACTTAGCCCCTCAATAAAAGGTTGCCTGAGGAGGCAAAACATTCCTGCTGTAGTCAGGTCACTCCCCAGGTGTGGTAAACACAGAAGCTGGTGTGCAAAGAACACTGTAGCTGGATGACAGACTCCGCTGGTGGATCCTTAATCCCAGTGGGGAGTTTCTGGACAGGAAAGGGCTGTAGACAGATATTTTAGATGACAGCACTTGCCCCTCTTCTCTCCTTTACAGGATCAGGGAGCGTAGTAAGGCGCCCCAGGAGCATCAGAGGGAGCTCTGCGAGGACTACTACCCTTGTGAAATGTACGCTTTTCGCCACGGCTACGCTGCTGCTTACAAACACTATTTTGGGAGGAGGAGGACTAAGTAAAGGATGACCTGTCCCCACCCTGGGGCCTGGAGTCCAGGGTATCCTCCCCAAAATCGCAATGGCTCTGAAACATACTCAGTTGCTTGTATCCCTGTATGTTATCCTTCCTGCTGCTTCTCTCCTATATAGCCATGGATTCCTACGCTGTGTTAATTAGCGCTGAGCTGATGTAGCAGAGATCACAGAGTTCAGGATGTGGGTGTTTACTATGAAATAAATCGCTGGTTTGATACTATCTTCTCATGACTCACAGTATTTTGGAAGGGGGGTATGCAATTTTCCATGAAGGAACTGAATTTATCATACATTCTGTTGCAGATTATGGGGAAAACCACCATTACCTTTCAAGCATATGGCTTTGGAAGAATCTATAATGTTCTTGCTCCAGGTTCTACAAGTGGCTTCTTTCAGAGGTCACTGGACAGTGTCAGCTCCCAATCCTAAGACATCTAAAAACAGTGGGGCGTTCAGAACGCAGATGCACTTTTTGAGGATCAAATATTTCCTCAGTTGGAGAAACAAAATCCAGAAGGCACCTATTTAATCTTGAAACAAAGTTAGGGTGAGAGTAGGTGACAGAAAAAGCCTGTAAATTGCTTTTTGTTTATCCAGCTACCATCAGGTCCTGATGTTAGGTGCTCCTTTGGAAAGGAGCGTGTGGACCAAACTTAACCTGTATTTTCTTTTGCAATCCCCTTTCAAAACCCTTCCACTTGAAATTAGTCTAGTAGCACTTGAAAGCTGCAGAAATAAAAGCTGGAGAGGGGCTCCTGGTGGTAAATAAACAGAAAAAAAAAAAAATTCCAATGTTTGGGGTCAGGCCCAACTTTTTTCAGGTAGAACAATTTCATTTTACTGTTCACTAATGGTTTGAAATCTAGATGTGGCTTGCCCCTGTGCAGAAGTTACTGAGCACCTTCCTCAACCTCTGAGGAGTGAGCATGGCTGCATTCTGCTCACCATCACCAGGGCCTGTCCCCAGGCCAAAAAGCACCAGTACTGACATGTCCTGGAATTCAATGCTGCTCTGGGCCTGGCAGCAGCCAGGCAGCAGCTGGGACAACCCTTGGTGCGATTTGTGTAGGAGACATAACATCTATCTCAGCTCAACCCAGATGGTTTCAACATTCACATCTCCAAGCTTACACAGGCACCTGCAAATTATAGAAGTTGGAAAGATTCATGGCATGCAATCAAAGTCTGTGATGTATAAAGTATCAAATTGTTGACTAAGCTGTGAAATTAAGCCTGGAGCCAAATCTACCTGGCCCATTAGAAACATGCATTTTCTTCCAAAACATGCTTCAAGGTTTTGCCAGCTTTGAAACTGAATTTTGGAAAGAAATGTGATTTATTTATTGAAAACACTTCTGATAGGAAACTCCACCCTGACAGTTTTGTCTAGAGGAAAAAGTGAGACAGAAATAATTTAAGAAAAAAACCTGTACAGACCAGGTATATCCACACACACTGGTTCTCTGTGTTCTCAAGTAGGTGAATCTTGTGATCACCAACCGGACCAAACTCACATATGCTAAAATCAACAGCTCTGCAGTGTCTGGGTTTGACTTGACACTGTGGCACCACCACAACAGAAGGCACAAGGTCTAGTGCTGTCTGGGTCTGTGTCCAGAAATATCCAGTGATTCCAATCCCCAGTTAACCAGTATAAATAATGAATAATACCAGAGATTTCTGTGGGATTTCATTAGCGTAAACAACAACCAAACAGATTTAAGAGACTACATGCTGGTTAGAAAGCTTGGGAAAAGATGGGAGGATAAATAAAGCTATTTGGGTTACTAGAATTGTACATTTATATTATTTAAAATATTCATCTGGAAGCATAACTTTCCTAGAATACCTATTATTTTTAGATGTTTATTTACTTTTTAACTGTTGCTCTTTTGCTGGATTAATATATATACAAGACCTTTTCCTGGACATCATTACTATATATATTCAGCTCTCCTGGACTGCAGAAAAGTTAACAGGGACAAAAGTTGCGGTTTATTTTAATCCTGAAAATTCTCTAAGCTAAAAGACAGTGTTTGTAAAATTGAGAAAATCCCTAAAAATCCCATGGCTCTGATTTTCCTTGGGAGCCTCCTAAACTTTACTTCTGTAACCCTGCACATGGGTCTGAGGAGGCTGGATATGAGGTGGAGGAAGATTATGTCTCCGCTACCAGAAAGAAGGAGCACACTTTATTTTAAAAAAACCCACAAAACAGCTACCCAAACGTGGTCACTTGGTCTGTTCAGCCAGGAGGAGACCTCGTTGCAGTGTACCACATCCTCCTAAGGGGCAGTGGAGGGGCAGCACCATTGGATATCAGGAAAAAGTTCTTCCCCCACAGAGGGTGTTTGGGCACTGAACAGGCTCCCCAGGGCAGTGGTCACAGCACCAGCCTGACAGAGCTCAGGGAGCATCTGGACAATGCTCTCAGGCACAGGGTGAGACTCTTGATGTGTCCCGTGCCAGGCCAGGAGCTGGACTTGATGATACTCGTGGGTCCCTTCCAACTCAGCTTATTCTGTGATTCTGTGGTTCCTATGCTGTTTGTGGGATGTGGCTTTGGTAGCTTGGGTAGTGGGTTTGGGGAGTGTGGGGGTTATTGACATGTAGTAGCCCATACAAGGCTCTTGTCGTACCAACTAACTTCAGCCACCCAGGTCCTGAAGCATAAAACACTTTTGGAGTCTAAATGTTTATTTGACTTTTAGACAAGAGAAGCCAAAATAAAACTTCTGAATTATGAAGATTTCCAGGAGGAAAATATAAAGATCTTCCCTCAAACTGACTTCCAAAGTTCCTAAAAGTATAAAAATCTCATCTTTCCGAAGTGATTTGGTGACACTATGAAACTGTCTGAAGAGCTACTGTGTTTGCCCTGATGCAAACTAATTTACAGGTTCCTTTACTCTCAGGGTAATGAGTCAAGGTGGGGTGTAGGAAATAGTCACCATTGTGTTCAGTCTCATTTTAGAAGCTCCACATGAGAGAGCCCCATCACGTGAAAAGAATTGCTCTACTTCAGTGTGTGCTGGTCTCTCCCCTGGCTTTCCAGCATGACTGAATGGCTTTGAAGTTTGTAAGAAAAATGATTTTTTAGATCAAGTTGTTTTTCTTCAACAGCCCCATTTAAAACCTCAGATAAAATCTTCTGGAATTGCCCTGAGTCGTGAGATGGATGCCAGAATGACTGCCAGGACCAAGTATCTCCTGGCCCAAAGGATGGGCTTTGTTTTGGAGCGCAGACACAGGAACACAAGCCAGATCCCTGATCTCTCCAAGAAATCACAGGATATAAACTGCTGCCCAAAAGCAAGCTCCGGAGAACTTCAATAACCTCCAGGAAAGCTCTGAGGTTAGGGAGAGTAGCGCAGCCAAAGAAGACATGAGGAGTCTGCTGGCACTGCTGATCGTGACTCTGGCCCTGGCAGCACTCTGCTGTTGTGAGAAAGGTAAGGGGACATCTTCCCAGGAAGGTTCTCAGAGTGCTGCTGAACCCTGCAGCCTTCTGTCAGCCTCCCTGAAATCTGAGAGAGACACAGAGCTTTGGGGGGAGGAGATGCACCACCAGTCATTTCATGACTTCAGATCTCTGTTGGAGAGAGAGTCACGGATGAGAGAGGGCTTGGGAACTGAGACCCCTGTCTTTTGCTGGGCAATTTCCTCCACTGGTCAATACCCACTCACCCCCACTCACCACTCAGTTGCATATTAAATTACAGCAGAGAATTTGAACATTTAAATATGTTTAATATTTCAACTGTTTATCATTTAGTCTCTCCCTAAATGGTGGGTGTTAATGAAACCATTTTGGGAGAAACAGACCTTCTATGTAAGTGGGGGGAGCTGGATTTGGCCAGTCAGTGGTGAGATTCAGTTACAGAGGAGGACAACCCACAAGCATAGAAGGACTCACAAGCGGACTCCTTTCTGTCTGTCTGTCTGTCTTCCAGATCCCAAAGAATCCTCCGCATCTCTCAGCGCTGACAGTGAGTATATCATACTGACTGATGCTCAGCTCCATTCTCCCGCATCTGCCCTCTTTCTTCCCTTTGACAGGTTCGAGGGCTGAACAAAAACCATGCTGAATCTCTCTCTAACTCTTCCCTTTTCTGTCCCTAAGTCTGCAGTCCCTGAGGTGCTGGAGCATGTGCAGCAATGCACAGCAGCACGCGAGCAGGTGACACGTGGGCAGCCAGTGTCCCTGTGCCAGCAAGGCCAGCATCCCTTGGGGCGGGCTGGTGCCAGAGGCTGCATCTCCACAACCCCTTAGCAGTGCCCTGGCAAGGCATGAGTGAGGCAGGTTGTTAGCAGCTGGATGCACCTGCCTTCTGTGAAACAGAGTTGTGTTGGTGGAGTCTCCCTGCTCTGACCTGGCTTCAGAGACCTGCCCAGAGTGACTGCTGCATCCCCAGGCTGTTCTGAGAGCAGAAGCTCCCACATCTGTAGATTGTGATGTCCCTGACAAATCCTGCAACAAGGAAACCTCTGAAAGAGGGGGCTTCCTTGGCTGCTCCTGAGGGCTGCAGTCCCTCCTGTCAGGTCACCTGGGATGCTGGGATTTGCACCTTGGGTTGTTCACAGCTTTTGCAGCAAGCTGATCCTGGCAGAAATCTGTACGGAAAATCCTTTTTGTTCTCTCGTGTCTCTCCTTTCTCACACTTTAAAGGATAACATTGCTGCTGAGAAGCATGAAAGCTGGTGTTTTTCCAGTGAGCCAGTACAAACACAAATCGGGAAAGAGAAAAAAAAAAAGAAAAGACTGTTCAGGGAAAGGTGGTAGTTTATGACAACTCATTAACTGGAAGTTTCTGTGTAGTTAGTATTTTGATCCAGACTAAACCTCAGTTTGCCAGAGACAGGATACCTCCCACCTCCAAAGAGAAACACTGTCAGACACTCCATGATGATGAAGAAAGGGACAAACCCCACCATCTCCCCATGGGCAGAGATTTTAGAAACTTTTTCCCCCAGAGACAGCAACAATTTTCCAGTTTCTATGCTGAAATGTGTGTTGGTGTGCAGCTGCCTGTGTTGCTGCTGTGCTGGCACCTGGGCACCTCTGCTGCTGTGAGACCATCCTATGGAGCGAGGTTGTGCTGTGCTGAGCCCTGGCTCGGGCTAGGAAGGGGCTATACCTGGTGTTTGTGGGGTCCTTCACAGCACCAGAGTGTTGGCACAACAATAAATCAAAGGAGCAAAGGTGCACACATGACGTGTTAGTGGAGAGCAGGGGCAAATGCTCTCATGGCTGAAACACCTCTTATGTTCTCCAGGTCCTTAATGCTGGGATCTTTGCACATCTTGGGTGTATTTCTCACTGGGTGATGTTTACTGTCTCTGCTTTATAGTCTTCACCTTTCATAGAACATAGAGCCTGTTGCTCATGGCTCACTGGAGGTGCTTTAAGGTCTTCTGGTTGGTATCCCACATCATTCTTAGTCTGAGTCAAGACACAGAAAGGAAGCCAAGATTCTAAAGTTAAGTAGGCCAGGGAGAGAGGGTGTCATTCTTCTAATTTTTTTCTTATTCATATTTTATGCCTTCTGCACATTTGCTGTAGACTCAGATTATGCTGCGTGATAAGGAAATTGAATTTATGACAGAAAAAACCTTGCTTCATGAAGATGTGAAGGCTGCAGTAAGGAGGGAATTTTGAGTGGGCAGTGGGATGGGGAGAGTTGAACAGACCATTAGGAGAATTTGTGGCATCATTTGCTTGTGAAGAAGGTAGATTCTAATTTTCAGAGGTTAGACTGGTCTGTGTGCTTCAGTGCTTCATCTCCAACCTGCTGTGTTCTCTCTTGACAGGCATCAAGATTAAAAAAGAAGTTGCCAATGCCTTTGTGAAGAGGAAGAAGAGATCCAGCCCTTACGAATGGTAACAACTCAGGGGCTGGTCTGAGAGCTGGACTCTGGGTCTGTTCTGAAGAGGGGATAGGAAGGCCATAGGGAATGACAAGGCATTATTTTGTTGTACAGCTATGTTATTTCCTTCATGTATTGAAGGAAAAAGGCGGTAGGAGACATTCAGTTCAAAATGGTTCTTTTTTTTCATTAAAACCCATTTGAAGGCTCATAGCTGGACTCTAGTACTCCTCCCAGAGAAAAAGACAGCACTAACTGTGCTAGCCATGGAGACAGTGGGATACAAGTTAGAAGCTGCCCCAGCCTACAGGGTCATCAGAACCAATTTTTAGAATAATGAGAATCATAGAGCCTTGGTCATTGCCTCTGGTTTCCCACAAAGGAAGCACAGCTTTGTTGCAGGAATGAGGATAGGTCAGATTGGCTGTTCCTTCTGAAGCTGTAGAACACACATTTACTTGTGCAGAAAGTAGACACAAAGGTTTGGAGAAATCCTAGCTATTCGAGAAATTTCAGGCAATGCAAGGATGTTCTCCATATATTTCCTGGAATATAAGCTACTCTTTCCTATACAGAAATAAAGTAAAAATTCATGAGATACTGTTGGGATTTCTGTGGTGGCATGTACAGCCTTCAGGAAAGATTAACCAAACTTAGAAGAAGAACTGAGAATGACACTCAAAGTGTGCAGCTGGAGACTAAAATATTTGGGCTTTCTTAGCCTGGCAAAAAAAACAGAAGAGAAAAACTACACAGGGATAGTGCTCCTGTCTACAACAGAAGTGAGGATAATTAGAGGAAAGTGTTTAAGCTAAATGAAAATGATGGCTAGTGGGCAAAAATAAAGGTAAGAAGGAAGTAATAAAATAATCAATCAATCAATCAATCAATCAATCTTGGGTAGTTGTGGAATGAGATTGAAGACAAAAAAACCCCAACAAAACCCAAATCCTTACAGATTCCATGATATCCTTTGCTGATAAAACCTCAAAAGCAAATTGATTTAAGCTGGGTTCAATCCTGTATTTCCCAACATTGATCAAGTAGCCTATCCCTGTGTAAGCAGATGTTAAAGTCAGCATGACCAGCCCTCTTTTGGGTCACCCTGGAGGTCATTTCTCTCATGTCAGTGTCAGGTATGTTAGCGGTCACCAGCTGCATTGGCTGAAACTGGAGAATAGCATTTCTGTCTTTGTCTGCTCCAGGTACTTCGAGTATTATAAAAGTCCAATGGAGCAGATGCATGAGCGCTGTGAAAACTACCCGCCCTGTGACTATCTCTCTGACCAAGTGGGATTTGCCTTGGCCTACAACCGCTTCTTTGGGAGATACTGAGGATGGGAAGGTCTCTCCATTCGTTTGGCTTGGAGCACTCCGAACCCCACAGGAGAAGGAAGGTTGTGGTTGGGAAGGAAGGAAGGAAAGCACCTGGACCAACATCTTCTTCTGTAGTCTCCCTAAGCAGCTGGAACACCAAGGCAGGGATTATCCCACTTGTTGAGTTTACATTAACTTTCTTCCTTTCATCAATGAAGTCTCTATTCAGACATCTTTTGTGGTATTTTGAGCTTCACCAGGAGACTCTGTCTTGCTTCCTTCCACCTGAATCCCCCACACACAATAGGTGAAAAATGGTGATTACTTTCAAGATAACCACTGCATGCCTTAGAAACATCACTAGATCTCCTACCCTCTTCTGCAAAATACAGGAAGATTATGGAAGAAGAATGTCACAATGTGATGGATCTGATCCTGGAATGCTCACTATGAAGAAGGAAGAACACCTGTTCCAATTAGTGGGAAAGTTCAGTATTTTTATGTAGTATAGTCACATTAAATATGCATTGCAGTAGGATAATTTTATAAAGTTAGAAGTGTGCAAATACTCTTGCATAGATAGCAATCAGCTTCTGGTACACTCTTCTGATTACTCTGTCATAAACTTTGCCTGTATAGTAATAATAAATAAATCCCAAACGGTGTGTTTAAGGAGTCCTTTTAGATGAGCCCTTGCATTTGTGTGTTGCTTTTCATGACTGTAAAAAATGGCCTTGAATTCTCTTGGTTTTTGGTTTTGGTTTTTTTTTTTTCCAACCAGTTTCTAGTGAAACTAAAAATACCCAACAGAACAGAAAAAAAAAATAACCTCTTTTCCTCTGTTGCTTTTGCATTTATGCTGAAAATGGAAAGTATCTAAACAGCTAAAAAAGTATAAAAAAAGAAAAGAAAGCTATAAGCATTATGAAATTTAAAAAAATTAGTTCAAGGAGGGATTGAAATTGGGGCAGTTTTTTGTTTATTCAAGACAACTGTTAGCTGAATATATATATTATATATATAATATACTACTAATATACTCTGTCAGCTTTCCTTCCCTGGCAGGTGGATGGCAGATCACACCTCCAAGGACAGGGACTGCTGATGCTCAGGAAACTTGCAGAGACCAAATCTCTCTGGTTACATGTAAGCTGGTGCAACCATCCCCAACTGCTAATTGCAATAAATACTGCTTATGTAATGTGAGTTGGTGTGCTGCTTCTTTCTGTTCCTCTGTACAACCTCTACCTGTGGTAAAAGGGATGACAGGAAGACACAGCCTGCTTTTGTGAGCCCTGAGGAGAAGGAACCCAGTGCATGAGGACTCCTTTTCCCCTGCCATGCCCCAGTGTGAATCAGAAATGATGACATTAAAAATTCAGGGCATAGGTTCAGCGCTCTGTGGCACTGGGGGAGAGGAGGGCCAGGCTTTACCTGACTCACCATCTACTCAGATCAGGGTTTCTCTGAAAAGCTTTGTGCTGAAGTAAGGACACAGGATAAGTGTGCAGAGATGGCTGCCAGTGTGAGCCTTGCAGCAAGCTGCTGTCACTTGCACTGGCGATGCTGATCTTGGCCAAGGAGAAGACACTTAATTAATATCTCTTCTTGTCTTGGTCAAACACCTGTGACTGGTTCCTCTAGTGACATAAACTAATGGGGCTTCACAGCTTGCAGTAAAACTCTCCTCTGAAGGCCATCTAGTAAAAATTAAGAATGCTTTATTGAAAACAAGGAAATTTTTGCTTGGAAAGATACTAGAGAGATTAGCAGAATCCTAACATCCAGTGTACTAATAAAATAGGGGGTTTTGTTGTTGTTGTGTGGTTTTGCTAGCACAAAAAGTTTCCTGTCCGTATTTGCATTTTTCTGTTAGTTTTATATTTTTTCTCTCCCCCTTTCAGTAAATATTTTTTTCAGGCAAAAAAAGTTACACCCGGAAGCCTCCATTATGTCATCTACTCTGTGTCATCAGATCTCTTCGTGGGCTTGAGTCATTATGACCTTTGGAGATCTGAGCACTCAGATCACGTTACAAATTTACCGCTGAAATGGAGGAATTCGATTTTCCCTTGGTTAGTGCAGCGCTAAGCACCGCCACAAATCCTCTGCTGCCATCTCACGGCCGCTGCATTTGTTGTATTTAGCAATAACTTTGCTTACAACTCAGAGTTGCTTCTGAAGCGTTTGAAAATGCAAATTCTTTTCCTGCTGGTTCCCTTCATACTAAACATTCACTTATGGGTCAGAGGAGAAAAACAGGGATATCATTTACAAATGGAATATATGCAGCTGAACTGACATTTTAGTGGGGGTGTTTATCATTATTGCCAAGCTCCCATGAGACCCTGTCTCAGTTTAGGTCTCTTTTATCTCTACACAAAGAGAGGTAGAGTTGTGTCTCAATAAGTTCGTGAGCCCTCCTGTGGACTCACTTTTAGCAGTCAAACAAAATACAGCCCAAGATAACAGAGAAATTCCAGGCTGGAGAAATAGGTAGTCTGCATCCATCACTTAGTATGGCACTTCATGGCATCATCTCATGTCACCAGGGACTGCAGATATTGTCAGCAGCAGCAACTGCTTTGAAAGGAGCCCAATATGAGACCTTTATGCCACCTCCCACCCCGTTTCAGCAATATTTTGCAGATGCTGTGTCCACAGGATCCAAGCAGCTTGACAAATGTCCCCTATCTCAGGGAATCACTCCACATCTGGAGGTGTCCCCCTCACCCAGCCTATCATTATCAGGCCATGGAAAATGGGCTTCACTTTTCTGTAGTCAGAACCAGAGCCTTGATAGTTCTTGGCTCTTTTTCCATACAGAAGAGTTATCAGAGGTCGTGGGGCTCTGTGGATGAATAACTCACTGCCAGGGTTTGGAAGGGTGTCTAGAAAGCAGCTGCTAGAGAAAGGTTTGTCTCAGCACAGAATCTGAATCTACACCCTCATTTTGCCTGAGCCCAATGTAAACAATCCAACAAGGTGCCACTCTGCAGTGGTGTGACAGTAGGATTGGCAGCACATGAGTAGAAGCCAGGGGGTGATAAGGAGAAGGAGAGTTAGGTTATCGCTGCTTCCAGACGGGATCCCAACCTACCCTGCATTTCTGTGTTGGCTTTATCAGAGTCAACTTCTTTAAAAGGGGTTTTTAAACTCTTAAGCAGAGAGTGGTCACCCTGATACATCCGTCCTCAGGAGAAGTGCCTTAGACGTCTCCAAGCCACGGTTTTCTTCCTTTTTTGCAAGAGCAACACCAAGTACCTTGGAATTAAAAGAACTATCAAGGTGATGGACACTCATGACAGCTGAAGTTGGTGCAACCAGACACTTCCTTATGGATTTTGGGCACATTTCTACCAGTAAATTGTCTGCTTGGATTGATTAATGACTTCTGAATTGCAGTGAGAATTTGGCAAATTGAAGTTGGTTGAAGAACAGCCACCAAAACCTGAGTGTAAATTACAAACTGCAGAATTTTCCAGTTCAAAGAAAAACAGAAAGAAACAGGTGCAAAATACCTTTCCTTAAAAAAAAAATGTTCTATTCAGTCTCTTGGGTGGACTCTGGGAAGCTGGTGACACTGGGTAGCCTCTTGTTGCTGATCTTCTCACAAATACTGGTAAAAGAGGTAAATATTGTTCTTTATTTGAAATAATGGAATTGCTTATATCACAGATTTTTTTAATTTTTTTTTTCATTTGAAACAGGTTCTTTAAGGAGCTTTGGGTTCAATATTAACTTTTCTGCTTTCAGTTCCTCTGTTACATTTCTTACCTGTCTTAATTTGTTTTAGCTACTTGGTTAGAATTTTGCTCTTGTTTGCAGCCAGATTATTTCATGGAGTGTTTGTGAGTAGATCTCATGGAATCCTTCTTTTCCTTTTCCAGCCTGTCTAAATTGACCAATGCTCCTGGAGATTTTAATGCAGCACATCCATATCAAATAAGAGCTCTGACATCCTGACTAGTATTTGCCTGTGATTCGTGTACAGACAATAACCTGAGGTTGCTCAGGAAGGTCTTGCTAAAGATTTGCTACCTGCCTTGCTTGCTCTGCCAAGAATAACAAAGAGGCAAGGAAAGGGTAAAAATTTGGCTTGCATCCACAAAGATACACAAGACATTCACACTTCTGATGATAATCTTCATTTGCTTTCATGTTGCAGGCTATGTCTCCCACCCTGATGGATATGGCTCTGCATTCCTTTGATGACCAGTACCTGGGGTGCAGAGAGGAGATGATGGAAGAACTGGAGCAAGGAGACTATTTTCAAAAGGAAATAGCTGATAACAAGGACTACTTTCGTCTCTGGAAGAAGGCTCAGGAGGCTTTGCTAAAGAGCCCTGTAGGTCTCTTAAGGGAAATGCGTGCCAGCCATGCCATAGTCCTCATGGCTTACACCATGAACTCCTCCCTGCACTCGCAGCTGAACCGGGCTACATCTACAGCAGGAATCTCTCCAGAGCACTACAGACACAAGTTCAGTTTTAAATATTTTCACTTCTACCTAACAACTGCTATCCAGATATTGAAGGAATGGCAGAGCAGCAGGGGGGAACATAAGTGCTACCAGGTGCACAGGGGTGTAAAGGACTTACATATCGAGGCCAAGGTAGGCAGCAGGGTGCGATTTGGCCATTTCACTTCTACCTCTCGCCTCAGGAGTGAAGCCCAGAAGTTTGGGAATGAAACTTTGTTCACTGTGACCACTTGCCTGGGAGCAGCTGTGCAAGGCTTTTCTTATCATATATCTGAGAAGGAAGTCCTCATTCCCCCTTATGAGATATTTCTTGTCAAAAGCTTCTTTCAGACCCAGCAGGGCAACCAGCTGCATCTGCATTCTGTGGGGAACTCCAGCAAGTACCAGTGCCAGCTGGTGGAAGGTATTGTATACAGGTTCTCGTGCAAAGGGGGCACAGTCTGGTCTCCAGTGCCCCAGGCAGCCCCCAGCTGTACCTGCATGGGGCCACACTCAAGGCCAAAGCTGTACCTTGCCTGCTGGGTTTGCCTGCAAGGACTGCAAGACCCAGATTTTACCTGTTTGCTGTGGAACCTGGGACAGCCCCCCAGCACACTAAAGATGAATAAACAGCAGGGCTCAGGGTTCTTTGCAGCTCCCATTTATCCCATGTTTTGTTGCAAGGATGTTTCAGGACTCATGCCTTTGGGTCCCCAGCATTCTTGTTGGAAGAGTGGGTGACACTTGCTTGAACCAAGTAATCTATGCTGGTGTCTTGCAATGCTGCTTCAAGCCTCAGGACTATTCTAGGCTTTGGTCCACTACTACTCTGGCAAGCTACTACTTCTACACTTATCTCTGGCAAGCTGAGAGAAGTGTAAACAAAGCTACTGTCACTTTAGCAGTGACCTCTCTCCTGAGGCAGAAGGGAGAAAATGTATTCTTTGACAAAGAACACACTGAGTTTCCTGGTCTATGCTGGAATACCTCATGGGGCCTGTTTCACATCCCTGCCTTTCTGTGAGTCTACCACCAGCCCAGGACTCTTGCTTTTATCGCTTTATACAACACTAGTGTATCAATGCAATATTTGAGCTCAAAACAATCATTTAGAAATGAGGGTTTGTGCCTCCAAAGCCAAAATAATAGAGTTGAGAAAATTACCTTCATGAGCAAAGGTTGTGTTAGGAAAAGCAAAAAGCTTTAGGCAGTGAACAGAGGTCTAAATGACTGCTCTCTTTACTTTCTTTCAGCTTCAAGAAGCGAGAACAGTGGTTATACTGCACTCATCTCTGCCATTCTCCCTGGTGTGCTTGGAGTTTCCTTGTGCTTGGCCCACAGTCTCTGATTCTCTGGCTGCATCCAGACATGTGCCCTTGAATAGCAAGAAGCCTCTGGAGTTCCTGCTGCTACAGAAGTTTCAATCTTCCCTTTGCTTTCAGATGTAACTCTCCAGTCAAGACTGGAATATTCAGTCTGGTTCATCAAAACAGACATTCTCTGGACCCATTCAATTAGGAAGAAAGTTATCTATGGCCTTTCTGAAGACTAGATCAGGGATAACCTCCACTGTAGACAGCTTTATTCTGAGGCATTCAGGAAAAGACACACAGGGACTTTGGACTCCTTACAGATTTCTTAATATCTTTACTTTTAGTGAGAAAGAGTCTGTCTGTGGGATATGGAAGGCACCAAGGCAGTAAAGTCGAGTGGGTAAC